GAATCGTACAATGAATTCATGACGCGTCCGGGCCTGGGTTTCTTAAGTATAGGTTTCAATCTACGGCGCCTGTCCGGCGGTAGTGGCTTGTTCAATACGTCTAGTTTTGCTGGATGTAACGGTCGTCGAGGCGGCGTCCGGGGTGAGTCGTCACAGGAAGGTGGACTAGGCTCGGTGGATGTTGCATCCTCGCCGAAATCCAAAGTCCCATTCTTGACTCCCTCGTGGAGTAAGTATGGAGCTATGGTTTGTGTGGGTAATTTATGGATTCCCGCGGCTGCGGCAGATGGTGTCGTTGTCGACCATTCTCTCGTGACTTTAGTAGAGGTGCTCATCCCAGAATCTTCCAGTACATCGCTTTCCCCTGGGTACATGTACATAGACGCCGAGTTGTGCAAGAGTGTGTTGACTTTGTTCTTGATCCCGCTCTGCTCGTGTTTCGCCGGATTGCTTAGGCCGTCAATAATTGCTTGGATGGCAGCTTCTTCCCTAGCTTTCGTTTTCTTGTAAAAGCCAACACCGATACTCGCACTCGATGCGCTTTCTACGGATATACAATGATACTTGCATCGAGATGTGAATATCGCAATTGGGGTCGAAGATCGCTCGCGTTGCTAGAACGGAAAGTTAGCTTTTGAAGGTTCTCGATTTCCTCTGTATGAGGCCAATACTCACAACTTCCTTATATGCTGAGCCGCTAAGTATTGCTTTCTCTTGAAACTTTGGGCAATGAGGACTATACTTTCTAATTGCATCTTGGAATAAAAGGACCGAGTCGGCGAATCCCGCATCCTGCTTTGGCTTGATACTAGGGAATGGCCGTTGGCCGTTGTGTAGAACACTCCACATGATGTATTCGAGGGTGTACTGGAAGAAGCCTTCTCCCCACTCTCCTGATAACTGAGTGGCGACTTGGAGGGTAACGCATAACTCCTTTGTTCTAAGGTAGAAATATATGAACTCGTCGTCTGAATTATCGCGCAAATGGCCGCAAGATTCCGTTCGGTCGTAAGAACCATCGTAGAAAGCTTGGGTGATCTTTTCAAAGACGGATCTATATCCGGATGGAGGGTGGATCTTCGCGATATCTCTGATGGCTGAGCGGTACTCGGAAGTATCCTCCATTTTGCCAGTGGTGCGCGCGTTGCGCGTGTTGGAATCTTGTTCTGATGTGGCGACTCGTGAGCGTGTTATCGAGGCGGAAGTTCTAGTTGTACTTGCGACAGGTTGAAGAGACTTTCCAGTATCAACTCGATAACATAGACTAGCGCGATTGTTCAGACAGGGGTGTTCAGTAAGCGAGCGACCAGTTGGCGGAGGAACTACGGCATCCGAGCGAACTGGAAAGGCGGTATATAAATTCAATTAAGCAAGAAACCGTTGCCGAACACAACAGCGCCTCTGTGGTATAGTGGCCAGGTCAAGTTGTGTTTGGAGATGGATCAACAGAGGGTCACGACAACAAATCCTTGAGTCACGTGAGTGCAAGGTAGAGAATAAGGTACGTCGATTCTTCGGAATCGGTCGAGCCTAACTCTTTTGCCATTTTCACCTACTAAATCAATTTTTTTTAATCTTTCTTCCTACCAAGACGATGGTTCTCTCGAAGTGCTTTTTGGGTGCGGTCTGCCCCTTTCCGAATAAGCGAGTGGCCATATCGGAGGTATCACCGAAACTCCGATCTTCAACGCTCATGTCCTGCCACTTTTTAGCGCTACCATAGACTAGCGGCTCTCAAGAACAGACCCCGGTACTGCCCATCCAGCGATTTGAACAGATAAGAACAGATCTTTATTCAATCTGACTGCTTGTTATGATGACTGATCACCTCTCCTCAATTCAACTCGATGAACACCGTCCGTCAGAAGAGAACCCTCCAAACACAATAAGATAACGACGACTAGAAAATACCGAGTCTCCCAAGTTACACAGATTAATGCATCGCCCCACACAGCCTACCAAGAACCTAGAGGACGAACACCCTACAACATATACCGCCTTTACAAAAGTTGGCGTATGTCTTCATCCACGAAGGACTCGGATCTTAGATCCAAGCCAATACCGATCCCCGTATTCAAGAACTTCGATATAATCGCTCCCGTGCATCGACAACGCAACACGCAGACACATCCAAGTATCGAAAGTGTAACTCGCCAGGAAGAGGCTTGACTCTACTTAGACCGGTGGAAGTCTGACATACCCTATCGACAATGCTTGCTACAACTCTTCAATCAGCTGTTACGGTCTGAAAAAAACGAGTTTCTGTTGAATAACCCAGTTCTATCTGGACTTATAGCACTTCTCGACAAGCCTCGTTCTCGAGACCTTCGCAACACCAGAACGCACAGAAGTCTTGAGACTAGACGCCGGGAGGAAGCTCTAGGGAGTGGCACGGATATATGGTCAATTGCGTTACAAAATACCGAATGGAGGCTTGCCATGGAGCGTCGTGACAGGGAGTTACAGGTGTGTTGAGCGTTTGAAGCGGCGACAGGCTTAGGAAGTGATACGGGCGAGGGTTCTCTGAAGAAGTAGGAACTCATGGGGAAGAAATGATGAAGATCGCTCTGGTGAAGGCTTGGGGTGGAAAGAACAAGGTGGCTGTAGATGGCCATGGAAATGAATATCAGAGATGAGCCCGCATCAAGGACTCTATTCGTTCCCACGCTCCTTTCAAAGGACGCACAAACACTCATTTATCCTTACCTTTATATGAATATCTTCTAATGCTATCACATCCCATTAAAACCTTGCAATAACTTCAACCCAAAAGCAAAATCTCGCTCAATTGTCAAGGGGGGAAGACTACCAAGCAGAAAGATCTAACGTAGTCACCATGTCTACGACCCCCAATATTGGCATCTCTAATGCCGCTGTCCCTAATGCTAGCCCTCAAATCTAAAGCCTTCTAAATGTCCCAATTCCAACGTTCGTCAATCTTAACGCACCTCAACCTCAAGGGCGTAACATGGAAACCCATCCACTCTCTTCCACCGTCGAGGCGCTTGGTGGGGAGGGGTATATGAAGTGAGCGTTGGCTGTATTGGTACGACCGTGCTATTGGCTGGCGAGAGGCTTTCAGAGTTTGGGCAGCTTTTGATAGGAGGGGTGGTTTTGGGGACTACGTTGACACTGTAGTGGCTGCTGAAGAAAGGCGTACAGCACTAGATGCCGAGAATTGAAAAGGTACAAGAGCGGCAAGGGGTGATATTTCACTGTGGACGAATATGAAAATCACCCTGCATGGGGCAGCCGCTTACTATTACTGCTCTGCATTGTCTTCTGACAAAGTTTCTGAGTGACGCATCTGAAGTGTTATGATTGGAGTCTCCCATTTTCAACGTGCAAGTGTCAACATATACCCATTTTGCCACTAGCCCATTCTCTATGCAACTTGAATGTAAGGAATAGCAAAAGTGACGCCTAAAAGAGCCTTGAGCATAAAAACAATAGCAAACTTCGTTCGTTCCCATTCATCTATCTGGAGCAGCTCTATTTGTCTCCTGGCCTCATTCAGATTTTCTTCTATTTGCTGTAGCTGTTCGCCGGTATGGTGAAGCTCCTGAGTCCAGGTGTTAGTCCTTGCCCACCAACGAAGAATGAAACATGAATACTTACGACTCGCATAAGATGAGCTCTAATCGCTTTCTCCTGATCCTCTCAAAGATGATGGCTGTATTTCCTGACTATCTCCTCTGTTTCGTCAAGGAAACTGTCCAATTCAGCGTGGGGAGGTGGTTCCACACCCGGGAATTCGAATTCAGTGACAAAGACATCTTCCCAGAAACTTCCTTCAATCAAATATGTAAAATAGCCAACACCTCAGTATTCATCATAAGCGATCTCAACAATCTTTTCTTCCGCGAGCCATATGCTGGTTTTGTATAAGTCGAGAAATATGCTGTCGAGGTTATTATGGGGAGCACGATCTCTACATCGGAAATGAGTGCCTTCATAAAATGCGGTGGCGAGGCTGTGATGGAGAATCTTCTTCCATTCTGAAGATACTCTGAAGCAGACTTTGTTCTTGTAATCGTTGTGGTTTCGATAATAGTTGTATGAAATGCAGTTAGAATTCTAGAGAGAATATTTTTCAACCCTCTCTCTTTTAGGTTTCGGAGAGAATAACCAGAATTCGTGGGACTTTGTTGATTCACGCTTCAAAGTATACGGGCCAGCGAGTCGTGCTTATTGTCAAAGTGCGTGGGTAATCTTCAAGCGTGAGTGACACTCTAAGGTTTTGACTACAATCAAGCTGGATGATGTCGTGAAAATATGGCCTGAAGCATACTCAGACGGAACCTTTCTCGTTGTGATTCATTTTCGACGGTGTTCCGTCCAACAGTTGATAGATCGTTCAAATTGTTTGACGAGTGGTGGTTGTGACTAGCTTTAGGCAGGCCCCTTGTGCCTGACTGTAGATTGTTTTTTTCTTTGCAAAATTGAGGAATAAGGTTGCATGAGAAATTGTCAAAGGTTTATTTCGGAAATTATAAGGGGGAGAGAGCTGTTCTATGCTGGAAAGAATTCGATTGATATTGTGATATTATTGTTTCTTGTAGAGGAAAACGCGAAATATGTTCGTCCGTATCTGGAAAAGGAGAGGGCTCGCTTGTTTTCTCAATAACAAACACATGGCTTGAAGACAGACCTTTTTCCACTTGTATGAAAGAGTATGCAGAGGGCAAGTGATTCGCGGTATCAGGAGGGAAATACCTTGTGTTGCCTTACAGAATCATTGTCTGAGAGGCATCAAAATTTCCTGGCGGAGAGATTCCAAATAAAATACTGCACTTTCTTCAAAATAAGTACAAAACTCTGATGAACTTTAACATCTCGAGTATAGATATGTGCATAGAAATGTCTTGAGTAGAATTTTATTCAAGGGCGTCTCGCTAGTTACAACTAGTATTTGTTGCTAGGCCCGTGGCCAAAAAACAAAAAGCTTTTTGTTAAAAAAAAGAAAAAAGAAAAAAAAGACATTAAAACAATATTATCTGAGGTTCTACCCAGGATCGAACTGAGGTCTTCAGAAAACTCAGAAAGTCAGAATCTGACGTGCTGCCTCTACACCATAGAACCGTTTTATTTAATTTGTTTGTTGATGCCATTTGTGCTTAATGTGAATTATATCGGGGTGGGGGCCGCCTCAGAATTGAATGTGAGGTGGCTGGGAAATGGGGAAAATTCGGCTCGGAACGCTGCATTGTTTCATCTGCATCTTCCGTGTTAAAAATGTGTTTGAAGTGGAGAAACTGCTACTACTTATCATCTCCTAGGGCTTGGTGACGATCAATACAATTTGCTATCGGTGGAGATAAGGATTCGGTTCTCGCTCGTTTGTCGTTGCAAGTGTGCCCACCTACTGCAGAATCAAATTTCAATACATCAAGTAAGTCAGACTGGCACAGAAAAGGTATCTGACATTTTGAATCTGCTATCCTAGATTATTTCAACCTAGTCTAACCCTCTTCCAAATCCTAATACACTCCTGAAGATCCATCGCTAACGACCCATTCGCCGCTGTAACAGAATCCTTGATAAGTGCAAGCAATAAGCTTCCATACGCAAACATCAACAGATTCTCCTTCAAAGCAAGATAGTCTGCCTTCCGAACTCCGCCATTATCCACAAAAGCCTTCCAGCTGTCTAGCATCTTGCCTAACTCGGTTGCAAGCTTTGCATCATTCACCATTCTCCAGAGCAAGACCTCAACAGCTCTCTTTAAACCATGCAACTCTTCAACATGGCCCTCCTTTTTCAACCAAGCCAGCATATGCTCAGCTACCAGTCCATGGTCCCATTTCGGGCTCTGCAATGCCTCGATCATTCTTGTTTCCGCCCTTTGAGCATCTCTTCTTCTGTTGGCATTCATAGTATCCACGAAATCCTCGTGGCTCTTTATTTGTCTTTCTCTGACACTTTTGGCTCTTTGCTCAGGGGTCATCGAGCTCTCTTTCTGCATTTGCCTTGTTGCCTCTCTCATGCGCCGGAATTGAGCTTCGCGGGCTTCCTCCTGGTCATCATATTGTGTTGCCCATTCTGGGGTGCTGGATTCTGGGATGACGTCGAGAAGAACGAGAATCCCGCAGGGAATCGTGTCTTTCTTCGAGAATGAGAGTACTTTAGTTGGGATTTTGTAGTTCCAGAGAATCGTTTGAGAAGTGGTTCCAAATGCGGTGATAGCACTAGCAAACCAAATACCAGCAGTGTTGGAAAGTGTATCATCAACAAGAAGGTGATTGACATTGTAGGCTTCAAAAAGGGAGGGTTCTGTATCGTCTGCGATGGCAGAAATAAGACCAGATATCCCAACTTGACAGCGGATGTCGATGACGGGTTCCTCAATAACAGGAGTATATTTCGAGGTTTTACTTGGCACCAGCTCTTCAGTTTCGCCGCCCTTTTCCTGTGGCTCCGATGTCCCTTTCTCGGTGCTCTTTCGAGAAGTGACGGATCCACTAGATGTCGAACCCTTGATCAAGACCCAATACGGGGGTAATGATGCAGGATCACGCATGCCCCAATTCGAGGACCATCTCACAGCTAAGGAGAGATTCCCATCGGAATCATCGAGAGGAGCCACAGTGAGCACTGGTTCGTGTCCGTCCGGCGAGAGGAGCAAACGCGTCCCTGTGGGTACCCAAAGACCACTTCCACGCAGCATTCGGAAGCCAGCAGGGTCTGGAACAGCTCCGAGGTCCAGAAGAAATGATATCAACTCTTCAAACCCGATCTCGGCTTGAGGTTGTCTCAATTGATCAGCATAATCGATCCTCTGAGTTTTGAGGCCAATAGTATGGCTTTTCCAGTTGAAAATCGTCCATGTTCCACCCGGAATATGACTTGGATGTTTGCATAAGTCCCAATATTCCGTACTTTGCTCCTCTCTATGCAGAGGAGCTATGGTGTAGCGTGGAAGCTCCACTTCGATAACGTGATTCACAACATCTCCCCTCGTGATGCCGGCAAGGCGTCCATGTCGCAAAGCCCGTCTGACCTTGGCTAGAGTTGCCAAAGTAGCTATGGTGTTGTAAATGATCGGCAGCACGCCTAGCACTGCAAGGGGCACACCAATGTAGGTGATGATGTCCGGCGCGGAGACACCCATCTCCGGCGTCGGTGTTGAGACCCTTTAACAAACTGACAGAAACCGATAAAGGAGTGTGCACAGCATGATGCCAAAGGAAATATCGCAAAGCGTCCTGGGCAGACTCAGAGGAAGATTTCAGGAGAGTTCAGCTTGAAAAAGAAACACGGGCTCCAGACGGGATGCAGGTACAGCGCCAACTGTCTCGCACGGTTGTTCAGCCTCACTAGAGTGCTGCCGTCCAAAATAAATCCGGGGAACCAGAATAATCGACGCGATGCGCCCGTACGAATGTAACCATTCCCCACGGGAGGCGCACCCTTGTTTCTGATAAGAAGAGCGATTCAGGCTGTAAATAATGGAGGGAAGGGAAACAAGAGAAGAAACACGAAAACCATGGCAAGAGTCTGACAGGCCCACCAGTGAGACAACATCCCAGCGCGATCCACTTGAGGTTCGCTAGAGCCTTTCCCCATCAAAAGGATTCATCACCCTCAACCTCTGCCGACGGAGCCCGACATTCCTTTCTCCTCGACATCCATCGACGACGAGCCATGATTGAACGATCATGTATCTCTTTCCTCTCCTTTCCTTCGTCATACCAATTGCAGTCGCTCAGTACCCGCCCGTGTCGAACCTAACCACGATAACCTCGCCCGTTGATGGGAACATCACCATCTCGTACAAATCCCCACCCACTGGCACATGTCAGACCGTCTTCTCGAATCAACAGCAATACACTGGCTGGGTAAATGTTCCAGGAAACTTCTCATCAAACATATTTTTCTGGTTCATAGCAGGACGAGACCCGACGGACAAGCTTACGATATGGCTCAATGGAGGACCAGGCTCGAGCTCGATGATCGGCCTCTTCACCGAGAATGGTCCTTGTGAAGTGGTTCAAACAGCGCAGGGGAAGTTTGCGACCAAGGCTCGAGAATGGGGATGGGATCGAGGGTCGAATATGCTCTATATCGATCAGGTATGGCATCTCTGTTATGGTTGCACGGATTCGGGAAGATTTTGACAAGCACTTGGCAAGTTGCCAAGGTAGCGGACATCTCAACATGGCATTTTGGCTCTGCCTTTCTATCTACGATCTCATCGTTTTGTCGTCTTTCTATACTTTTCTCCTTGCCATCGTTGTAACCATTTGTGCCATTCTTACTAATTCCTCCCAGCCAAACCAAGTTGGATTCTCCTACGATACACCTACCAATGGCTCTTTAGATCTCCTTACCTCGAACTTATACGCACCTCCTCAAGTACTGCCGAATTCCCAACCCTCTTTCACCTTCTTGAATGGGACTTTTAGCTCCCTCAAGGCAAGCAATACAGCAAATACTACGGAGGTAGCCGCCATGGCAATATGGCATATGCTTCAGGGTTTCCTCGGAGCTTTCCCACAATACAGACCAAACAGCACAGCTGTTGGGGTTCACTTATTCGCTGAAAGTTATGGTGGAAAGTATGGGCCAGCCTTTGCGTCCTTATGGGCAGAGCAAAATAAGCGCCGATCAAATGGCACTTTGTCCAAGAACGGAACATTGGATATCAATCTTGCTTCCCTGGGGATAGTCAATGGCTGTGTGGACGACCTTATTCAAGCGCCATACTACCCAGCATTCGCAATGAACAATACTTTTGGCTACGCAGCTATCAACCCTGTGAGAGCGCAATTGGCGGCTGCAAGCTTTACTGCTTCAGGAGGCTGCCGGGACCTTATCAAGTCCTGCCGCACTGCTGTTGCCAATCAGGATCCGGAGAATGACGGAGATGTAGATGCCGTTAGCACAGCTTGCTCGACTGCGTACAAGAGTTGTACTTCGAATGTCATGCAACCATATTCTGATGCCGGGAGAAGTTACTACGATATATCACATACCCTCCCAGATTCTTTCCCGTCGAGCTCGTACATTGATTACCTGAACACGGCCAGCTTTCTTGCTGCTATAGGATCTCCAGTCAATTACACAGAAACGAACTACCAGGTCGTCAGTGCATTTACCTCAACTGGAGACTATGAGCGACAGGCCTTGGTTCCCAATCTTGCTGCGTTGCTAAGGTCAGGGGTGCGTATTGGATTGATGTATGGCGATCGGGATTATATCTGCAATTGGTTTGGCGGAGAAGCAATATCGTTGGCTGTGGCTGCTCAGACCTCGGCCTCATATGCATCTCTCTTCCCGGCTGCTGGGTATGCTCCTATCATCACCAACACTTCTTACATTGGTGGTGTCGTCCGTCAATATGGAAATCTCTCATTCAGCCGTATCTATGACGCAGGTCATACTGTGCCAGCCTATCAACCCGAAACCGCATTCGAAGTATTCGCACGGATCATGTCAGGAACTTCCATATCTACTGGCGAGATCATCAATCCGTCATTGTACAACACAACCGGTCCTGCGAATGCGACGCACACTACAAGCTTGCCACCATCTCCTTCCAATACCTGCTATATTCGCAACATCGGTTCGACTTGCAACGAGAACCAGAAAGCCATGATTCTTGCTCAGAAGGGGGCAATCGTCAATGGGATCCTGTACAGTGCCTCTTCAGACATCAGCTCCGCCATGTCGAGCTCAAGTGCAAACCCAGACGACTCCACTGGCACAATGACAGTTACCACCACACAAGTTCTCACAGGACTCTTCACCGCCACAGCGACTCCCAGTCCTACGAAGAAGAGTGATGCTATCTCCTCTTTACCCTCGCTTAATACCACTTTGCTTGGAACACTCATCAGCATAATCGCCTTGTCACTCGTTTGAGCACATCTTGTTCTTCACACTCGCACCTACGCACATAGAGATACACGTAATCGTTGAGGTCACAACGACCTCGTAATAACGGCGTAATAGGCGCCCTTCTCACGCCACCAAAAAGAGATCAGCTTGTACATAATCCAAGCTTGAAAAGAACCAGGCACAGGAACACAGAACGGAAGAAAATATTGTCTTGGTCGGCAAAAGTAGCCTAATGGAATGGA